AGAGCCTCAGTGAAAACATGTTGACAGCTGCCATAAGGTGCCACTTGTGCCACCTTACCACTGGGTAAGGTGGCACAAGTAAGGTGGCCATGGGTGCCACAGGCTGCTAACCTCATTCTCTATCTGTTTCAGATAGAATGTAGCATATGAATAACTTTAGTTCAAACAAATAGAAATAAAATATATCTTAATTAAAACATAATTCTCATACATATTTAAATATACAGCCGGTGTTCAGACTTAACAGAGAAAGACAACTCCTGCACTGAATCCATGTCAGATGGGACCTCTTCTGCGACAGCTGATAATAGCTACCACTAGGTACCTACCACTACAACTGACACTAGGTCGCCATGACATGTCAGTGCTGACAAGCTCCTGTCAGTTCCGGATTATAATTATTTTCATACAATGACCTTAATATAATGCTACTGATTATTAAACCGGCTAAGTTCACTAATATTGACTTATTAGTTAATATTAGTGACAGTGGCAACATGAGATAACGACAATTCCAGAGTGACATTATGTTCAGCATGGTTCCATGACAGTGCACAGGATGTCATAAGTTACAGTGGCTGCCTGGTCTATTACTTAATAGACCAGGCAGCCACTATAACTTTCAGTGTTTTTTGTTTTTTTTTAAGATAATGCAAAGTTTTTGGAAAACATGTTATCATAATTTTCCAAAAGTGCCTGTTGACCAGTTTAAAGAGTTATTACTTGTTATTATTTAATAAATTTAATATCTGCTATTTTTCATTAATTGTGAAGTTTATTCCAGATTTGTGTGGTATAAATGAAGGTTGCTTCTCTGTGTTCATTTCTGGTTCTGTTCATTGTCTTCAAAGTTTCTTATTCAAAGATGAGACAATGACTAAAATCTGAACTACAAAATGCATTTCAATAGCATTTTCAAGGCAGCAGGAGGACTTTCACTTTCAAGTTAAACCACCTTCAAATTTTTTACACTGAAGTAAGTCAGCCGAAGTCAGTGACAACACTGACAGCTAGTCCCGAAAGCAGTGGCACTTCCGGTGGCAGTGCCACCGGAAGTGCCACTGCATGGTTCCATGCAGGTGTGACACCTGCCACCGGAAGTGCCATTAGTAAGTGCAGTGTCACGATTTGAGCTCGGCCCTGCTGCTATGCGTTGCATGCTCTGCATACCCACTTTTTGCGCCACTGGTTAGACCATAAAGGTCATTTAAAAGGAAAGTAAGTGTTTGATCTGGCTTGGTCAAAAAATTGGCACAAACATGTAGAGCCCTGAAAATATTTTAGGAACTTGATAATGTTTAAGTAATAAGTATATTCATTTTATTGGGTAAGCATTAATTTCATTTAGTATTTGGTTAAAACAATTAATTTGGTTTATGGCTAAATATGTGCTAAAACTACTTTGTTTTGTTTTTTTATTTCATAGATTTCTGTCCTAATAATGTCCCTTTAAGAACTACACAATGCATGATGGGAGTTCAAAGTTCATGAACTCCCATGAACTCCTAATGTGTAGGAAAAGAGAAAACTACATGCGCTGTACGCTCTAACTGTGGAATTTAATAAAGTTGCACAAAAGCAAAAATCTGAGTTTTTAAGTTCTTTTAAGGGTGCAACAAACACAAATGTGTTTTGCAGTCTCAGCTAATCTTATTTGCTAAAACTGTTTTTGCTATAGTTAGTGAACAAAAAATGTAGTCTCACAATCTTTTATCCACAAATAGTACATCAAATTTGTGTAGCATTATTTCTACACAAATAATGCTACACAATGCTACTTATTTGTAGCATAACTTGCTACAAATAATAGACCAACTAATGAAATCTAGTTAGTCTAGATTTCCACATTTCCACAAATAGTACACAGGTTTTCAATAGATATACAATCTGGGGAGTCTCATGGCCACAAGTCATACATTTTAATGTGATGACTTTAGATTTGCTCAAGTCTTAGAATAGAAAATGCCTTTATTTCCTGCAAAGGGGAAAGTCAGATGTAACAGCAGCGTCAGATACAAAATATCTGCTCTCCACACTTGTCCTTCCTGCTGAATGTCTGTCTTTAATGTTTTTCTTGGAAAAAGGTGGCTCCTTAGATGCTGTTCCAGTCAGTCATCAACTAAAAGTCTTAACCCAACTGTATATCCATTCACAGCTGCATCTCTTTTTGCCATTTTTAGTAAGCTCTGGAATCTTCCTCAGCAAGAAACTTCCTGACTCTTGTTGAGCCCTCTTTGACATCCTGAATCCTGCAAATGAACCTTTAATCTTGAAATTCATAATCATCTAAATACTTTTTTTCTGGCGAAGAATTTGTAGCAGCAGTTTCCTTACACGTGGCAGCATTTTGATGATGATTTCATGCTAATCTTTCAGCTTTTTGCAAATGCAAAAATATAGATGTTTTAGGCACAGATTGCTTGTTTAAAGCAAGCAATCTGTTAACTACATTTATTCCAGGCTGTTATAATATTCTACAACAATTAAGTTATCTGCCACTGCCTTTCAGTCATTCCTGCTAATAGCTTGTTGCGATAAAGTAATGTGCATCTGATCAGTCTGCACAAAAATGCAAAGACAACAAAATGTCCACAAATATTAAAAGTTTGCAAAATACAATTTTTGCATCACTGTGCAAACAGTGCCTTTGGCCATGACTCGACACCTTAAGAGCTTCCTGCCGGGTGGAAAAAGAAAAGGGTTTTGTTTTCCACTCCGTTTGCGAAGATATTGAACTATTCTTCGTATTTCAGACACTGTGGGATGTGTTGATCCAGAGGAGTGTGTACGGGTGTGTGGAGCAGAGGTTGGATGTTCCAACATTGCCTTTCCCAAACTGGTCATTGAGCTCATGCCGAGTGGTGAGTTTTTATTCCCCTACGTTAATATCTGAATATTTCAATCACTTTAAGTTTTTACCAGCACACATCTCTCCATATGTGTGTGTCTGTTTGGACTGCAGGCTTGAGGGGGCTCATGATAGCAGTAATGATGGCAGCTCTGATGTCGTCTCTGACCTCCATCTTCAACAGCAGCTCCACACTTTTTACCATGGACATCTGGAAAAAACACCGCCCTCGAGCCTCTGAGAGGGAGCTGCTGTTGGTTGGCAGGTACATTACCTGTACACTTCATCATCGGGACGCTGTTTTACCATGCAGTGATCTGTAACAGATCAATAACAAAATATCTTTAAACTCTGTTACTGCTAATGTTTGTCCAGGATTGTCACTGTGATCCTAGTGGTGGTGAGCGTGGTGTGGATCCCCATCCTTCAATCAGCCAATAGCGGCCAGCTCTACGTCTACATCCAATCAGTGACAAGCTACCTGGCCCCTCCAGTCACAGCCGTCTTCACACTGGCAGTCTTTTGGAAGAGGACCAATGAGCAAGTACGACTTTAGCACAAACATGCTAACAGTTTGTGCTTTACAAAGCAAATGTTCACTTTAACAATGCAAAGTTATTATAAAATTTGAATAACTATATAAGAGAAGCAATGTGTTGCGGGTAAATATAATGACCAATAATAAGCTGCAGGGCAATATGTTGCAGCGCAACATATTGCTCCTCTTCTATAGGTATCCAAATTTTATAATAACTTTGCAAAAATAGATATAAAAACAAGTGCAAAATGTTACATATGTGGTAAATTATTGCTAAATAGTCAGGGCTTAATAACCCTGCTCTCTGAAACGGGGCCCTGCTCTCGCTCCTTCAATTTCTTGAATTTTGCAGTTCAAGAAATCTTCAAAGTGGGTGAGTTTCGTTGGAAATGAATAAGAATTAACAAGAATTTATGGGAGCAAATGTGATTTAAAACTACAGAGGTTTACCTTGGTTGTTGCTATAATCTGTAGGCAGTTCTCTAAATCTGTAAAACAGTGCCTGGTAGCTAGATAAATCTGTGGTCATATTTAGATTAATGACTGTTGCATATAACTGATGTGTTTTTAGTTTTCTTCAAAATTTTAGATTTTCCCATTTGAAACCAAGTAAATAAAATCCAATACAGATGATAACTAGAACATTAAACTATTGTGGCAACATTTTTTCACCCAGAGCACAAGACTACTGTAGTTACACCCATGAGTTTATGGAATACATAAAGTAAGGTACATTTTGGTAATATTTAATGTAAAATATTTTTAAATGTAATTCCTATGGATTTTGTTCTATTTGGAACTTGATTTTGCATCTACATTTAAAATTTCAGCCCCTTTTTGAAAGGCCATACAGCAACAAGTATATTAGAAAATGTACCCCATTTGTAGCACCATACTGCAGCATAATAGTGAGCTTTCAAGGTTTAATCTCTGAACTGTTTTTGTTTCCTTCTGTATTGTACTGCAGACTGTTTTATTAGACTTGCACAGAAGTTCCTCTCACTGCTTTGCATGGAGTGGATTTTTTTTGTTTGTTTGTTTAAATGTGTGAACACACTTGAGTTTGTTTGTGGTTCTCACTCATTTTATGAAGTGTATTGTCTATCATTTCCTGTGTAGAAAACAGCGTGAATGAAGTCTGCGCTCAGATGAAAGAATACAAGTCACTGTTTTAACAAGGTGTGAGTGAAAGTTTAGAGCTGCAATATAAAGACGATATGGAGAGACACAAAGGAGATAACAATGCTGCAGTAAGATTGTGTGCTCAAAGATAATACTAGTGTGTTGAAATATTGTTTCCCTGCATGTAAAGACCAATCTGCTGCAGTCGGCTTTCTAATAGAACACGTTCTGGGTGTGCCTGCTGTCCTCTGGCATGCAGCTCAACAACTCAAACCAAGAGAATTTTCTCAAGAACAAGATTTCTCCCTCAGTGATCTGCTAAACACAAATAAAGGCTTGCATCATTACAGGGAAGCAAAGATTATTTGGAGTTTACCATTAGCTTGTCTGAGGTTGCATTATGACACAGTGGTCAAAGGGCATTTCTGTTTTCTGAAATCCCTTGGGTTTCACACTAGCCTCATAATTTGTTACAACAGTCTGACACCTGGTCAGTAGACCAATTTAGTCCAATATGTTTTCGTGGACACTTGCTGACTCTGGTTAGCAAGTTGACAAGCTGGTTTAAAGACTTAACTTTCAGATGCATTTCCATGAAATGTGCTACTTACATTCATACTGCTTTGAGTTCAATTTGAATTTAAATTAGATTAATATGTTACTTCTAACACAAACTGCTATAACAAACTAACATTGCAACTACTATTACTTGTCTTCATGCGTTTCACTCTAAAATTTATACAGATAAGATGTTGTCATTAACTTCATATACTCTTTTTTTTTTCTCTCTCACAGTACTTTAATGTACTCCTGCTCTTACAAAACCAATAGAAGAAAACTAGTAAAAGTAACAGTAGCATGAATACTTTTGCTGTTATTGCTACTTTTGGTTTTGGGCTTTTGTCACAATAAATCAGAAGTGTTATGACATTAAAAAAAAACATAGTGCAATTATTACGGTATGATAATTGCCCGTCCCTACTCTTGGCTCAGTGTTTCTGTGTTTAGCAGTTCCTTTCCCTGCATGGAAACACTGGTGAAGCTATTATTGTCATTAACTTGCATACTTGTGTAGTGCTTTGTTCCTTGTTGAAAGTATTCCTGGCCCAGTGCTTCTGTGTTTAGCTCTATCTTGGATGAAACCAACTTTCCCATAGATAATGGTTAAGGCTTAGTATATTTGTGCTTGCTGTGTTTCTCTTTTGGTCAAAGTTGTCATGATATGGTGACGGTTGTCCCAAATACAGATAGGCAAAAGAGGTGAGTAGATTTGGTAATTTTAATGAAAAAATGAAGAATAAAAACTTACAAAAGCCACAGGGAGCCAGGACAGAACAAAACAGGAATGCAGGAGCAAAGACAGCAAGGAATAACATAAGAATAACAGAGAAGTAAAGGGGTGTAAACAAAAAAGCAGTGGGAGGAGTGAGAGCATGACCCCGTTTCAGTTAGTAAGCAGTTACTCTGAACAAATCTA